TCCCGTTGCCGGTCCTGGCCCAGTGCGGGGGCAACACTGAGGGTTGCAATCCTTTGCCAGACACGAAAAAAAAAAAAAAAAAAAAAAAAAAAAAAAAAAAAAAAGAAAAGGGCTTTTTCTCCTGTAAATGGGACAAGAATAAAACATACTCTTCTCTAAGATGTAACAAATCTTAAATGAAAACAAGCTGACCACCATCGGGGATGAGGATTTCCATTTCCAAATCCCGGTCTGAGGGCCAGGTAGAGGACGGAGGCACGGGGGATAACCGGCCACCATAACTCGGGCAGAAATCATCCTAGGCACGAGCCGGCCACCTCATGTCCTATGTCTTAGCAGCTCAGAATAATCCAACAGAAGTGCTTCACAGTTGCCTTGGTAACCCAAAGGATTTAAGACTCTAACAAAAGTACACAGCCGAAATCACTTGTTGGATTCTAAAAACACCTTCTGCTCGACAACTGCATTTAAAACATTCAACCCACAGGCTTAAGGAGCTATTTCTTAATATGCTATCAACTCCCATAACATGAAGGCCTCCAGCGTTGTCACTGCTGGGTGACTTATAGACAAGGTGTCCTGGGACCGTCTGCATGATGACCAGGACCCTCCCGCCATCTGAAACGTCAGAATGCACTAGATGAAGCCTTGTATTCCCCAGGGACCACTGCTTTTCAGGTTTTAGTCAGAGCTGGCGAGAGATTATAAACAAAGTGATGAGCAGATAGAGACTACTGCCTTGTGAGCCTCTCTGTACTGACAACTAGCAGGGAATAAACGATTTTTCTATCAACTCAAAAAAATCTGATTTAGTTGAGTTAAACTCCAATGGTTGTGGGGGTTGCCCCCAGAGGACATCTGATAATGTCTACAGACATTTCTGGTTGTCATGACTGGGGACAGGCGCTACTGGATCGAGTAGGTGCAGGCCAGTATGCTGCCACCACCCTACAGGGCCCAGGATGGCCCCACCACAGAGAATGACCCTGCCAAGATTGAGAAATCCTGAGTTAAACCAACTTTTACTGAACACCCAGGAGTCTGGCCCTGCACTCGGTTCTGAGGACACAGAGTAACAATGAAAATGAGGATAAATAATAAAAGCGACAGTGTATCACAGCAGAAAGGTGGCTCCCAGGGGATGGGGAGGAGCCGGGGAGGAACTATTTATGGATACAGTGTTTCAGTTTGGGATGATGTAGAGTTCTGGAAATGGACAGCAGGATGGTTGCACACAACATGAATGCATGTTTTTTTTCCTTTTTGTCTTTTTTCCTGTCCGGCAACGGATCGCAACCCTCAGTGTCGCGCCCGTACGGGACCGGGACGGCAACGGGATCGCAACCCTCGGTGTTGCTCCCACACCTCGCTCAGCCAGTGAGCGGAACTGGTCTGTATGTGGGATCCGAACCCTCGGCGGAGCGCCACCGCACTCCCATGAATGCATTTAATGCCAGTAGACTACACACTTAAAAATGGTTAAAATGGTGAAATTTACGTTGTGTATATTTTCCCACAATCATAAAAGCTACAGTGTATCCAGGCTTCGCTTTCCTCACAGCTGGCGAGCCTTCCCACCTACCTCCCTGCCCGGCTCACTCCCAGCCCCCAGCCGGGTGAGATCCCTCAGCTAAGGAGGAGGAGCTGGGGTCACCGAGGGGGGCCCCCACCCTGCCCCAAGAACCCCAAGAAGCCTTCTAGGCAGGGGAGCAAGCAGCCCTCCCCCATCGAGCACACAGGCACGCTGTGCATTTCTGACATTTTTCAGGGCCTATGACCCTAGGGTGTGCTGCCTTGTATCCAGCTCTGTCTGGTGGATTCCTAACCTTCATCCTGGAGGGGCCTCCCCACCGCGGGCACTTGCTAAGAGGCCACCATCCCTGCTCTGATCAAATACCCTTCCTTGCCCTGGGCTGCACCAGCAGGGGGCAGGGGTAAGCTCGTGCCCGCCTGCCACTAGGAAGGACACCCCATAGGCATAAGTGTTACTATGTGCTCAGCACTGGCAATAGCACCTGGTATTTGATAAACAATTTATTAGTTTCGTGTCTGTCACCCAGACTAGTAAGTATCATTCAGGTCCTGAGGATCAGCTTCAACAAAGCTGAGCTTACAGCCCCTTGAAACTAACACTGTGAATTAAATGTGGTACCCAAAGAGAGACCCTCTGCGCTGTGCTGGGACAGTCCATGGCTATAAGAAAAAAACACCATCTATTGGATTGAACTACTGGAACCCACACTTACTAGCAGAGAGGAAATACTCGTCCCCTTGCGGAAGAGGCTGCATTATGGTAGCTCCTTAAGTCATCCCAGGTCAAGCTGAGATACCAAGAGCAGAACACACTCATGTGACATTTCGTTCAACAGTCACGACAACAACAGTACGAGAGGAAGAAGGCCATGAGGTGGAAAATCTGGAGCTGACGGCCACTCTGGTGAACGGCCAGCTTAGTTACCCCAGGCAGTGCACGTGTGAGAGAGATAAGACCCTGCACGCTGAACCTCACCCCACACCGGGGGCTGAAGGCCCTCCCTTGGGGATCACCCCGCCCCCAGCTCAAGTCCCCTTGGTTTCAGAGGAGCCCCACCCAGCGGCCTCTGTGTGGGTAATGCCAGGGCTGTGCTGATGGGGACAGACATGCAGGCCGAGGAGTTGCTCTGGCCTTGGAGACACATTGGTCACACTCCCTGAGGTCACACCAATTGACTGGGAAAGGCAGTGACCACAGGAAGCCACCAGTGTGAGCCTGAAAAAGCGCCATGCCATCCACACAGTGAACAGCCACCAGGCCACTGACACACAGTGACCAGAGAGGCTGAGCCCCACCCATAACAAACAAAAGGCTTACTTGTGTCTCGGCTGCTGAACGGCCACCCCGGCGCTGGAAGGAACGAGGGCACCGGGGAGCCGGCCCGGCTGTCGTCCTCCACCTGCTGAGTGATGTGCCGGACAGTCTCTTTGTTTTTCCGATTCTTCCTTCGGCCCGTGGGCTGCCAGCTGTCTGTGGCACCCTGCTCGGAGAAAGAGTTCCGTATCGCACAGTCCTTGGCAGAAGGCAGCTCACCCCCTCCGTAGTGGGACGGTGAAATCTTTTCCTCCTTGATGTGCAAAGACCCGTAGCCCATGTCCCCAGGCCACAGCGACTGTGAAGAAACATCATCAGAGCCATCGGCCTTGGGCTCCTGATCCTCCTTCCCGTAGCTGCTCCCTCCTTCGTGGCAGCTGGCGATGGCCGAGTCTCCGGAAGAATTGGCGGGACTCATGCGCCGTGCCAACCACGGTGAGATGCTCCTTCCAGCCATCACGGCCGAGATCAGTGCTTCCGTGCTGCTGCTGGATGCGGCGCCGATCTCGAACTCTGCAAGTTCATCGGAGGCATCTGATTTGATGCTGATGTCCAGTGCGGCCTTGATGAAGTCGTGGCAGGCCTGCACGATGTCCGTCATCTGCAGGAAGCTGGCAGCAGACATCACCTCAATGACGTTCCTGCTGGTGAGGGCCAGGTGGGCAGAATACATGAAGTCAATGATGGCCTTGAAGCCCTGGGCAGTGACGATGTCCAGGTGGGTGACCGTGGCCTGGTCAGACGTCTTCTGCACCTGGCAGTAGAGCGTCTTGAAGTAGCGGCTGCTCCCAAGCAGGACGTTCTTGTGGGCCTTGAAGACCTTGCCCTCCACGACGACACAGGCATCGCACAGCACTCCGTGCTGCCTCTGCTCGTTGAGCTCACGCAGCAGGTGCCGGTAGTGGGACGCGATCTCCATATCTTCCTTTCGGTTGTTCATCGGGGAATCCTGGTGGTGCCTCTTCTACAGACTCTGCAGGGGTGAGAATGGAAGAGTTACCCACACGCTCAATGTAAACAGACGCTGTCAAAAGCAGCTCAGGCGGGCGCGAGGTGGAGGCACTACCTCACGCACAGCCCCTGCAGGGCATATGCCATGTGGGGACCCCAGCCGCGAGCCAGGACTGAGTGGACACGAGGGGAGAACTGCCCACAGCATTAGCCCATCCGCAGGACCAGAGCACAGGTGTGCAAAGACACACCTGTGCCTTCACCTGCGCAGGGCAGCAAATGCTGGAAGGGGTCCACGTGTCCCCGGACGGGCGTCTGAGGTGAATTTCCAGGCTGGAGACTAACCATGGCCATAAAGCACAACAGGTTTGGAATAGGATCCTACACACCTATGAACATACACCAGAAACAGTGAAAACACCGTCAATAGGTGAAGCAACTTCTTACCCAAAATGAAAACCGAGGTCAAATAACCCATGCTGTGGCCTCCATCCCTCACACTTGAGGAAACATCCTTTAAAGAAATTAAAAAATAAAACTTCCTGTGCAGAGAAACCACAGAGCAATATGGACTTAAAGCAGACATGCGCAGCTTTACCCCTAAATATTTCCAGAAATCTGAGCTCAAACCTGCTCCACAGGCTGGGAGATTCTGGCTTATTGCTGGAACCAGCTCAGCCCTGAGAGGTTTCCTGTGCCCATGGAGCCTACGAGAAGCCATCAGAATCTCCCTGTCACTCCCATGTCAAGAGGCCCTGCTTTGTAGAACCTTAGGAGACCTTCCCCAGAGTTTCTCCTTAGACCCAGTTTTCATGACCGTTCTGCCTCATTTTGTTTCTTATTGCTGCCTGTATTCCTTTCCTAGGGCTGCCATAACAAAGGACCACAGAGTGGGGGGACTAAACAACAGAAATGTATTCCCTCACAGTTCTGGAGGCTGGAAGTCTGAAACCGAGATGTGAGCAGAGATGGGAAGGCCCTGTTCCAGGCCTCTCCCACTTCTGAGGTGGCCGGAGATCACTGGGGTCTGTGTGGAGGCATCCCCATGACCTCTGCCTTCGTCTTCAAGTGGCATTCTCACTGTGCGTTGTGTGTGTGTCCAAATTTCCCCTTTTTACAAGGACACCAGTCATATTGGGATTAAGGGCCCACCCCAATGACCTCATCTTAACTAACTGCATTTGCAATGACCTTATTCCAAATACAGTCACACTCCCAGGTACTGAAGGTTAGGACTCCAGCATGTGAATTCCTGGGGGACACGTTCTACCCGTAACACTGCCTGAGATAAAGCCATCAGAGCTGGACCTTTCCACATCACTAACTCCATTTCTCCAGCTGATCATCAAGCAGTGGCACTCACCTGACATGCCAAAATGTGCTTAATTAGAAGAAAACCACACTGGTCAAACGTAGGGACTGTTGCGTCCTTCCCTCGCG